GTGTGTGTGTGTGTGTGTGTGTGTGTGTGTTTGTATGCCTTGGGTAGGGGTGAGGGTAGCTCATGTGCTATAGCACATGTGTGGAGGTCGGAAAGATGGAGGAAACTCCCTTGAGGGTCCATGAGTTCGCTCTCACTCTCCACTTAGGTCCCAGACATTGAGCTCAGGTTATCAGAACTTCACAGTGGGCTTAGACTTGTTGAGTTGACCCATCCCACTAGGTTGTAATTCTGCTCCTGAAACCTGTCAGAATGGGGCTGGAAAGACGGCTTGGCAGCTAAGAGCACTTGCTGCTCTTCCAGTGGACCTTGGTTAGGTTCCTAGCCCTTCCAGGTAGCCCTGACAACTCTGATCTCAGCAGCTATGTTTTGGAGTCAGGGGAGGGACCTCTGCTTTTCAGTTTCATTTCACTCTGGCTTGACCAACAGAATCACTAGAACCTATGAACGCTTGTATGCCTCAGAAAATTGGATTTATTTGTTGTTTATTTAAGGGTGAATAAATCATCCTTACTGGCAGGCTAGCCCTCTTTCAGTACCAATGAATAGGGTAGACCTCTTTACCTTATAGCCTTCAACTCCGTAGTAATCTTCAATCTGTGATCATCTGACTTTGTGGATCATTTGACTTGGAGATTTTTGCCTTTGAATCGAGGGAGTCTTCCCACATAGGAACCTGCTCTGCTTGTTGGGGCTCTCCCTCTATTCTCTGAGACCTCTTTATATGGTCAGTTAGGTAATAGTAACAATAATGTGAACGACAGCCATCTCAGATTACAGGTCAATTTGATTACTGGTAAGCAATTAGAGGTTGCTGGACTAGATTGGATTAACATCCCATTAGATGTTCCCAAGGTGCATTTGGTGCATCAGGATGATGCCTTTTTAGACAGACTAACCTTACTTACCCTGTGACTGGTCTGCTTAACTCTGACCGCCTCTAAGAAGACTGACTTCTCCCCATCTGCCTTTTTATAAAACACCCTGCGTAGCTGTTGCCCTAGTGTAGGATCTATCTATTCTCTTTGCTTGATGTTGAACTCCACGAAGGTAATCACTCAATATTACCCACTTTTATTTTCTCTAGTAAAATTCATGGCCTCATACATGCTAGGCAAGCACTCTAACACTGAGCTATATAACCCCCATTATTTTTTTCTCTCTGTGTATATATCTGTACATAGATATATACATACACAAACACACATGTATAAATATGTATATATAACTTAAGACTACCCCTCATATGTCATTTATGTATTATATTTATGTATATTATATCTATTAAAATAAAATATGTACACTTATATTTACATATATGCATATATATGTATACACACACATATATACACATAAAAGGAGTAGATTTAAGTTACCCAGGTGAGCTTAAAATCTTCCTGCCAGCTTCCCTGATATGAGATTTTATCCTTGGGCCACCAGGACTGGCTTGTTCACTTTTCAAAAGCCTCATTAACTGAACCTAGAGAGATGGCCAATGATAAAGAATATATACTGCTCTTCCCAAGGACCCAAGCCCGCTGTCTCTAATTCTAGTTCTGGGGCATCCCATGACCTTTTTTTGACCTCCATGGCTACAGTACTTACATGTACGAACTCACACACAGACACACTTATATACACATACTTAAAAAAATAGTGCTTCTTAAAATTGCATTAATTGGGACATATGGTTCATATCCCACAGAGTCAGCACATTTAGAGTGAATTTTCCTGTATTCTATTTCATAGTCATCACTACAAATCACTGAAGAACATTTTCTTTAAAAAAAAAAAAGTCAGGTGTTGGTGGTGCACGCCTTTAATCACAGTACTCAGCAAGCAGAGACAGGCAGATCTCTGTGAGTTCGAGGTCAGCTTGGTCTACAAGAGCTAGCTCCAGGTCAGGCTACAAAGCTATAGAGAAACCCTGTCTCGAAAAAATTAAAAAACAAACAAACAAAAAACCCCCAAAACCCAAAACCTTGCATTTATTTATTTGTTTGTTTGTTTAGTGTGTGTGTGTGTGTGTGTGTGTGTGTGTGTGTGTGTGTGGCAGTATGTTCACCACCATGACACACATAGAGGTTAAAGGAGAAGTTGTGGGGACCAGTTATCCCCATCTACCATGTGAGTACCACAAGCCCCACTCAGGTCTTCAGGCATGGTGGCAAACGCCTTTCCCTACTGAGCCATCTCGCCTGCCCAGAGCATCTCCATCAATTCCATCAACAATCATCTCCTGCTCTACTCCCTTCTCACTGGTGCCGGCCTAGTCAACGGCCAGTCTTCTTACCTTTTCTGGACATTTGTGTGAACCATGCATTTGTGGTCTTTTGTGACTCGCTGGTTTTCTTTCCGACACCACGGTAGGCCATGTTAAAGCTTCTACAACTGAAGTGAGTCCACACTGAATCCTTTAAGGAGGATCCATTGGAAGGCAAGTGCTGCCGGGAGTCACCGCAGCTGCAGCTGTGAGAACATCTCTTTGTGTTGCTGCAGCGAAAAGGTGTCTAGTTGGATCTTGGCCATAGGCCAGTTCCCCACTGCAAGGCCAGTCATTGCCTTCCTTGACCTTTGCCTCAGCTGGCTCTTTGATGCTTAGCTGAGCGCTTCATGGCGCCCTCAAATATTTGCTTAAGAAACCTAGACCACTCAAAGCAAGTTGGGATTTCCTGTATAATGTATCAGAGAATCGCGCGAGTGAACCATGGTTCTGTCTCCTGTTTCTGGAACTGAGTCTGAGTAAGAGGGAGGCCAAGGACAGTCAGTGTGCTACTAGAGGTGGGTTCTCCATCAGCACAAGATGGCCCAGACTCAGAGTGAAAGCTTTCAGTAGCCAAGAATGAAAGTCGGGGTGTTGAAGGCAATCACGGTCATACATGATCACACTTCCAACCATAAGCCTGTGACTCACTTGTAGTCTATCCATGTTGCTTCAGGATCTGGTGCTCCTTCCTTTTCATTGCTGAGTGCTATTTCACTGTATGGACAGACCAGATTTTTGACTTATTAGTTGCCATGTTTTTCATTTTTTTACTTTTGGAGAGTAATATACAGATATATATTTATGTAGTAGAATTTCCAGGTCTGTGGTAACTCTATGTTAACTTTCAGAAGAATTGCAAACTGTTTTCCGTGGTGGCTGCATCATCCCAGACCATTAGCCTTATGGATGTTCCACTTTCTCCATGCCCCTTGCCACTGACGGTTGGTTTGTTGTTGTTGTTGTTATTTTATTTAACTAGCCATCCCAGAGGGCATGGATTGTCCAGTTCACCTTTGTATCTCCATCGTGAGGTCTACCTTGCTGTTAGTAATTGTTGACCGATTGACTGCTAAGCGAACACTGTTTCGCTGTATTGTTTCTCTTATCGCCCTCTGGAAGGTGACATACACTGGAAGAATGAATGACTATAGCTGGGCATAGACTGATAACCTGTTGAAACCTGAGGATTTGCGTGCAGTTTGGTAGCCGTGCGATCTGGAGAAAGAAGTTTAACTTTTCTGAGCTTCAATCTCTTTATACCCATAGATAAGATGCCTCTTTTACACGGTTGGTTTGAAAGACTCGGTAAATGAGGATGAATGGAGCATGTAACTGGGAGCAAGCCTTCCTTAAATGGGTGCTGCTGTCCTCATGGGTGAGTGGGTAGGTGGCAACTTCCTCTGTGTCCTTACCTCAGCATAGCCAGTAGCTGATGTCAGGGGATGGGTTTCTCTACCTGTCAGTCGCTACATCAGCACCCTTCTTCAGGAGCGCACGCTGAGATCTCATCTCAGGACCTGTCAGCGGCTCTTTCACTCTGAGACTCCTGGGTGGTTTTTGAGATCAGGTGAATGCCTGTTGTTATCAGTGTCTCTGCTTCTCGCCATGACTTTCCCTCAAGCCTTAACAGACCCATTTCACAGCTCCAACTGCTTTCAGAGACTTGTACTTACAAGGGCATTCTTTGCAGAAGCAATTGATTCTTTCTAAAACTCCTGTTGATACAGCTCTTTAGTTGTGAAGGCGCTAAGGCTGGGTTCTGGTTGTCTGGGGCTGAGAAAAGGTGTTTTGACCCTGTGAGGGGCCTCCCTTGGCTGGGCTGGGCTGGTTTTGGTTGCCTCCTTGCCTTTGAACCTCTTGGATCATTTATGAAAGCAGAGGAATGGCTTTTATCTGAGGCCATAGTGGCAGTGTTCCCACTGCAGGAAGTGCTTGCTTGTCTTACGAATCCCACATACTGGCTGCAGGGAGGCCTCAGGATTTCACTTGACTTGTTTCTACATCTCTGCAATCTCATGATGACTTTAGTGCTGTTACCTGAGAGTTTGGGATCTCGGAGGAGGGACTGTGAACTTCCCATAAAGAGCTTCATTCCTGGGCCTCATCTGTCTGTCTAGTTATAGCAGCTACTCCCCTTCTTTATACATCTTACTGTGGTCTTTGAACAGGTGCCCTGTCCCGAAAAGCTCCATTCCGTCAATGTGAAACAGTATAACAGACATAAAGCCAGTCTAGAACTGTCCCTGAGTATGGGAATGAATGAATGAATGAAGAATGCATGAATGAATGAATGAATGAAGAATGAATGAATGAATGAAGAATGAATGAATGAATGAAGAATGAATGAATGAACGAACGAACGAACAAACAGAGGCCTTTTGTTTTGTTTTTAGAGCTCTGGAGAAGTCTTTGGGCTTAGGAAGAGATCGATCAGTCTCCACAACTTTAGCATACAGCTGCAGGGAAGGGAAGATGGCTTTACTTGGCAAGGAAGGTTATCTGGGAACAGATAAGATAGCTTTAATCAGAATCATAAAAACAGACAGTTGAGGATTGTTAGGAGTGGGAAGTGGGGAGGGGACTGACATGGAATAGTTTACTGAAGAGGGAAATTTTTTTTAACATAGAGCAGTGCATGATGGGAAGTTTGAATGGGCAGAATGGAGTCAGATAATGGAGCCTAGAAACTGGAACTGGTGAAATGTAGTCCAGAAAGTCGTTAGAGGCTCCTGGAAGGAGCGCACAGGATGGTGACGGAGGTGTCTGGAATTTATTTTCCTGGCTACAAGATTAACCCCCAAGCTTGGGTTCAAGAACTGTTTCAGTAGACATGGGAGTTTCCCCGGCTTAGTGAGATGAGGCCCTGGTTTGTTAGCATTGAGGACTAGGAAGAGAACACTCATCCAAGAGAAGCCAGAGGCCCGTGTGACTGACTGTACTCCGGCTGTCAGAGAACAACGCACGGATGTCTCAGAGGACACTAAAGGTAGGAAAGCCGGTGACAGTGGCGGACAAAGGCCAACTCGGCAGACGCAGCGGGCAAGATGGGTTTCTGCCAAAATTGCTGGGTTCCTGGGGCCAGGACATGCCTGAGTTTTAGTGTTGGTTGGCAGATGGACACAATGACCCCCAGCATGAGGGAAAGGTTGGGATTTATGGTATCAGTTTAGGAATTATTACCATAATATTAGAAACGAGTGTGATAAGCTAGGTGTAGTGGCCCATACTTGCAGTCCTCATACTTGGGAGGCTGAGTTAGGGTGAGAACCCCAAGTTCGAGGTCAGCCCAGGTTATAGACTGAGACTCTGCCTCGGAAAACCAAAACAAATGAAATAAATAGGCAAGTGGATAAATCAAGAGAAAAACAAAGTACCAGCAATTGAAGCGGTCTGGTCTCCACATCCATAGCCATAGAATAAAGAAACCACGTAAGAGTCCAGAAAGGGCAACAGGGTAGAAAGACAGATGTTTGTCTTCAGGACAGATGTGCCTCCTCTCCTTGGCATCCTTTGGGTGGATCTGAGTTCCCGCATGGAATGGATTCAGGAGGTGTTGATATCATCCTTAATGCCACAGCTCAAGGGTCTAAAATCTCTTGGGCTTATGTTGAGATGAGAAAAATGAGATGGATAAGCACACCCTACATAAGCTTGTAGGGATATGTTCCTACATTTAATGTGGGGGATTCATAAATTCTATACTTTAGTTACAAACTGGAACAAAATAAGCATCACCTCTGCTAGGAAAATGTGAAAGAAAGGCAAAGTTCACTGTTAGGACTGTGGTTTTTTATAATTGAGACAATGAACTACTGGAAGAAAGTTCCAGATTGCAGGGGATTAGACTTTCTGTCCATCATCTTTATTAGTAGGGCAGCCGATGCTTGGGAATTTCTAGGTGATGAATACCTCCACAGTTAACGGCTCTGCAAAGATGCTCGTAGGCTCAACTACACCGGAGACTTTGTGATCCATCAGTGTTCTTCTCACAGGCAATTCACCTAAAGTGTTCACACTTGACCAGGGTCTGTGTGCATCCAAGTTAGCGATGAGAAGTACACAGAGCAAGAGAATATTTTGGGTGCATTTTGAGTGACTGAATTCAGCTGACTTGCTTATCTCTTTCTGTTTACTGTCCAGAAGCAAAATCACATGAAATGTCCAGGGAACTTAGACTATAGTGAGGGAGCAAAGATCAGGCTGCTGCTCGTCCATCTGCAGAAGTGTGGGCTCTCGGGTTTCTTTCCATGTTTTTAGGAAGTAATCCTCAAAGTTGGAACTAGACTTGAAAATGCAACACAAAGGATGCCACAATGGGTTGGTCTTTGTGTACTTAGGCTCTAGATTCACACTCTGATCTTTGTCCTTCACACACACACACACACACACACACACACACACACACACACCCCTACAAGCTGAACTGTGTCTTTCTTACAGCTATGAGAATTTTGATAAATAATGACTCTAAAGAATGGAATACAATTAATCTTATTCCCAAAGTTTTAAAAGGGGGGGGCGACTAACATTAATGAAAACACATTCCCCACATTTTTTTTGAGAATCAAATCTCATTAAAGGAAATCTCTTGAGGAGATCAAATGCAGCTTAGTAAAGGGCAAGGCTACAAATAGATGTGATTAATCAACAGAATGTTGAAAAGTTGACCTTGCGACGTGTGTTATTTAGAAGCAAACATGCCTTGTTTCAACCTCAGAGTTAAATTTGAAGCAGTGAAATCGGGTCTTCATGCTAGCAAAAGCAGCAAAGTGGTGATCCACTGTGACCTTGTGACTTAATAGTTGGTGAAGAATGTGGATTCTTATTCCTAGGCCCACCTTCCTCATTAACACTGTACAGTACACACATTTGGATGAGATTTCTTTCCCACCTTTCCTGTAAAGCATGCAGAATTAGAAGAGGCAACACAGCATGTCCACAAATAAAGTGCCCTTTACAGTTATGAAAAAAGAGGTTCATGCATATATGAAACAAAGTGTTCTCTCTGTGTATGTGCCTGTGTGTGTGTGTTTACATACATGTACCTGTGCTGGCCAGAGGTTGATGCTAGGTGTCCTCCTCAATCACTCTCCACCTTATGTTTTGAGGCAGAGTCTCCCCCTGAACCAGGAGCTCACCAGTTCATCTAGGTCCGCTGTCCGGGGAGCTCCAGAGAGCTCTCCCACCCGGGGATGCGGATAAAGGCATGTGCCACTATCACCAGCATGAGAACCCAAACTCAGGTCTTCATACACATACAGCAAATATTACCAGTTGGGCCATCCCTCCTATCCTGAAATTAGTGAGCCGTGGATGCCTACCTGGTCATATCAGATGCCATCCCCATGCATGAGAATGGCATGCCAGTACTGACTACATAAAATGTGCTATGGGATTACATATTTGTGTAATTGCATGTTTGATTCAGCTGAATACCTGCATCTGTGTAATTGGTTAACTTATCATTTCCTTAGGACAGAAAAAAATTTCCAATACCCTAAGTTCCCCCCCCCCCCAGAAGTCCTCTTAAACATGTAGATAAGCAGTAGACAGATGCTAAGCAGTGGGCTTTTAAGACTTGTCTGAAAAGCCTTTAAAAAATGGATGAACTCACCATACTATACTGAGGGGGCCCCATTCAGCATGAGAGTCCACTGTTAGGGTTTTTACCTATCAACGGAAAGCAAAGGTATGTGTTTAGGGTTAAGAAAGAAGCCAATTGGTATTACCCTAGGCTAGACCAAGCTACTCTTGTAAGCCCTCCCATATTGACCTTTATAATATAGGAAATACTTAGCCATACAGTGGCTATGCATGCCTTTAATCCCAGCACTCAGGAGGCAGAGGCAAGTGGATCTCTGTGAGTTCGAGGCCAGCCTGGTCTACAGAGCTAGTTCCAGGACAGGCTCCAAAGCTATAGAGAAACCCTGTCTCAAAAACAAAACAAAACAAAAAAAACCAAAACAAAACAAAAAAAACAAAACAAAAAACATAATATAAGAAATACTTTATTTCATTTTCTTAAATACTCCACTTAACGTCCATTTGTGTTTCATGCCATCTTTTTAAAAAAATAGGAATAATACCCCCCCAAAAATCCAACTCCAAACTGAAATCATAATGCAGTATTTCCCCAAGTGTAGACAAATGAAACCCTGAAAATATGCCTTTTATCAAGAATCGAAGGAAAGGATCATGAATATTAGGTAAACCAAAATCTCAGAGTATATGATAGCCCTAAGAAAATGATCTGGGGGCTCTAAGAAAAGTAGCCTCTCTTTCATTCTGTCTCTGTTCTCATTTATTTTATTTCGTGTACATAGCTATTCTGCCTGCATGGATGTATGTGTGCCATGTACATGCCTGGTGCCCAAGGAAATTTAAAGAGGGCACTGGAATCCCTGGAAATGGAGTCATAAGTGTTTGTGAACCTCCATGTGGATCCTGGGAATTGAACCCGGGGTCCTCTGGAAGAGCAACCAGTGCTCTTACCCACTGAGTCATGGCTCCAGCCTTCTTCCTTCTGTTTTACTGAAGGTCTGTTTCTGTAAATCAGAACCTCTAGATATGTTAAGGGCTAAGTAAATCAATGTTCGGAGCTTGTCTAGAAAATAAAATGCCTGTCATACTTTGAATTTCTAAACAAATGAAGCATGAATTCATTCTAGGAACCCAGATGGTGATAGGTTGAGCAATGGTACTGAAATTGGACTTTGTCATGGTTCATAATGGGCACCTGTGGCCAGAAACTCAGTGGAGAATCCCCTTTCATTTTCCTAGTTTGCTTTTACCACCAGTAAAAGCAGAGCGTTCATCATAGGCATGCACGCACGCACGCAAACACACCTGTGCAACTCAGTTGCTCCTAGTCTGTTCAGGGTGTTCAGGATGCCTTTGTGCTTGAGAGAAATCTCTTCCTTTACCACCTGCCTCTCCTATCTCCCTACAAATGTCTTGTGAAACACAATGTAAAATGGGAAGACCCCAGAGGTCAACTGAGCTAAGCATTGGGTGCAAATCCTTCAAAATTGTTCTGATTTAAGTTGACGGACTGTAAGGGGCCCCAACAGTGCAAGCATTTTTTCAGGGTAACAGTTGCCTTCCAGTCCCTGCACCAGGTTACTCTCAGGACTCTCCTGCTTCCCCCCCCCAGATGCCAACATTTTCTTTCATTGTTGGGTAGTGTTCCCTAGATTGGATCTACTATGCTTTGTCTGTCTGTCTACACACTGAGGAACATTCAAGTGGTTTCAGTTTGGGGTGTGTCTTAGTTTGGGTTTTCATTGCTGTGAAGAGACACCATGATCATGGCAGCTTTTGTAAAGGAAAACATTTAATTGGGGTGACTCTCTTACAGTTTCAGGGGTTCAGCTCTTTGTCATCATCATGACAGGCAGGCATGGTGCTGGAGCTGACAGTCCTTACATCTTGACTCAGAGGCAATAGGAAGTTGACTGACTGTCACACTGAGTGAGACTTGAGAAAAAGAGACCTCAAAGCCCGCCCCTACAGTGACACACTTCCTCCAACAAGGCCATGCTTCCTAATAGTGTCATTCCCTTGAGGGTCATTTTCTTTCAAACTACCACAGGCTGATTATGAATAAAGTTACAATAAAAATTATATTCAGGTCTTTTTGTGTTATTATAAGTGTTCATTTCTCTTCAGTTACGACCTAGGAGTAAGATTATTAGGCAATATGCTCAGTGTATGGGATTTTGATCATGACTGTTCTATCAACTTGAGGATAATTGGTATTTTTTACTTTTGTGAGAAAGAATATTCATTCTTGTGTCTCAGGCTTCTGAATTCTGCACCATCACACCTGGCTTGACAATTGATATCCTAATAATATTGGGTTTCCCAATGAACATGGTATAGTTTTCTACTTATTTAAATCTTTGATTTTTTTTCATAGATGCATGAAATTGATATCCTAATAATATTGGGTTTCCCAATGAACATGGTATAGTTTTCTACTTATTT